AGAGTTAAAGGTCACAATACTTGCAACTGTCCAATGAGCAGCACCATCATGAGAAGTTTCTATCAAGGTTTGTCGATGAAAGTTTGGATTTCCCTGTTGTGGTGCGTGGAAGCTAATGGGTTGATGCCATCATCTTGCGACGAAACCCATATCAGTAAAGTACGGTAGGTACGTCAAACCATTTGACCAGTTTCTTTGATTACCTGCTAGGTAGTCAATCTTCGGTTTTATATTCACTGTTCGCATGCCGTATACTCCATCTCTGCGGGAATATAATCATACCTGAACTTTCTGCAAACTTACATTACAACCTACAAACACCTACATACCTTTACATCGACAATTCAAAAATCCTCACAACTTCCTACAATAAGTCAAATACAATCAAGATGAGATTCATCATCAGAGACGGCAGAACAGAGGCATCTGCCTATGTTGCGCAGTACATTGTTGGTAAGAATCTGCCTTGAGTTGAAGATATAAACATCGATTGACATTTAGTTAGATCGTATCAACGCTTTCGGACCTACCCCAGACCATCCCTTTGTTCTTGGTCTCCCTACTGGTTCCTCCCCTATTGGCATATATAAGATTCTCGTCGAGAAGTACAAGGCTGGTGAAATCTCATTCAGAAATGTTGTCACTTTCAATATGGTATGTTTATAACGAGCTGTATTTATCTCTAGTATTAAGAGTTGGATCACTAACATAAGTAACTTGCATAGGATGAATACATTGGTATTCCACGCAACCATCCAGAAAGCTACCATACATTCATGTACAAGCATTTCTTCTCCCACGTTGACGTCCTTCCTCAAAACGTCCACATCTTAAATGGCAATGCCGAGAATCTCGAGGCCGAATGCGTGCAATATGAGGAAGCTATCAAAGCAAAGGGCGGAATCGATTTGTTCCTTGGCGGAATTGGACCAGATGGACATATCGCATTCAATGAGCCTGGATCTTCCCTCGCATCTCGTACAAGAGTCAAGACTTTGGCATATGATACAATCATTGCCAATTCCCGATTCTTTGATAATGATTTGGAGAAGGTTCCAAAGATGGCTTTGACAGTTGGTATTCAAACTATCTTGGAGGCTAGAGAAGTTGTCATCATTATCACTGGAGCACATAAAGCTTTGGCTTTGGCAAAATGTATTGAAGAAGGTGTGAACCACATGTGGACTCTCTCTTCTTTACAGATGCATCCACATCCAATGATCGTTGCAGATGAAGATGCAACACTTGAGCTTCGAGTTAAGACGGTCAGAGTAATTGCCCCACTTTACTTTACCCCGCTATCCACTTACCCCTCCATAACCAACTTCCTTCCTCAATCATGTTTGTGTTGAACTCCGATGCTAACAAAACTTCAAACAGTACTGGAAATCAATTGAGAAAGTCGCCGCCGATGAAGGTTTCGAACAAATCCTTCCATCTGCTGCTCGTACGGGTCCTAAGCGCACTGTCCCTCTCGCACCTATGGCAGAGAGCTTAGTCAAAGAAACACCTACCATCAAGTCTCCACAACCTCTCACAAGCACTTTCTTGGCTGCACCAGCTACCGAGTATCCAATTCGCAGAAGCATTACCCCAGATTTAATTCCTGACCGCATGGGAAGCAGAATTGTATCGGTTTGAGACTGCGGTTAGTAGCTTGGGTACGGATTCGATAATATTGGGTATGGGAGGATCAAATTGGGTTACATGGACACAAGATAACAAGGGGTTCTCTTCGTAGCGGAATTGTTAGTCTTTACGGATTGCGGGGGTAGATCTACGCGACGCCTTTCTACTTCTCTCTTCACTTTCTTCTTTTGACAATATGTATCTTTGCAAGATACTGAGTCCCTTCTGCTTCTTTTGTTTTTATGGCGAGCGAGACGGAAGTTATTTACATTAAAGTAAACTCACCTACACTAAATTTCTGAGATTCCCACGAATCATCTGTATTACTAAATAGACACGATGAGAGTCAATGAGAAATGAATAAATTAATATATATTAATAATCTTTATTGTGTTCTGTAATGATGTGTGTGCGTTGTGTGTCATGTGTGTGATTCTTGTAAGTTTTCAACATCAAACACAAGTATGCGAGGTATCAAGAGCATCTACTTTGAGAAACGTTTATCTATGTCTATGCGTTTCTGCTCTGACTTGGGCTGTGAAACCAATCTCTATCGGCGATTTGATGGAGGTGTGCTTGCCATGTTGTTAATCTGTAAATACAAATGAAGAGAAACCGAAACCTCAATTGGAAAAGCCTTTATAGTCTTCCTTCCCACCAATGAAAAAACTCAAATATCCTCTCATTTCCCTATCCAACAATCTTCCCCTCTCCTCCCCTTCCCTTTCGAAAACCCTAACCCCAAACTTCCACACCTCATCTACCACAACCCTCTTCCTGCCCTCCTCAACCACCACATCCAACACACACAAATCCGCATCCATTCCCCCTCCAACCCACCCTTCACATGCTCTAATCCGAGCATCCTCGCCGGGGTCTCCGTAACCGCTTTCAACGCCTGCGCCACACTGCACCCTGTCCAGTTGAGGAAATTGGATACGCATTCTACGAGAGTTATGGAGGAGCCTGCGATTTTCCCATCGGATTCCAGACGCAAGTGGATGCCGTCTTTGAGGATGAAATCGTTGTTCCAGGCGTAGCGGCCGTTGGGGAGACCGACGAGGTGCATGGCGTCTGTGACGAGGATGAGGCCTGAGGGGTGTGCGTTGTAGGCGAGGGTTATGGTGGTGGGGTGGAGATGGATGGAGTCGGCTATGATGCCGAAGTAGGGGCGTTGGGTTATGGGTTTGGGGAGAGGGGGGATGATGTTTTGAGTGGTGAGGGGAGAGGAAGGGGGGGTGGTGGAGGGGGAGGAATTGGTTGTGGGGGTTGTGCCGAGGAGACCGAAGATTCCGGGATTGCGGTGATGGAGGGGACGCATGGCGTTGAAGAGGTGGGTTATCATTGTTGCTCCGGCGGTGATGGCGGCGGTGGCGTCTTCGTAGGTGGATTCTGTGTGGCCGATGCTGAAGATGATGTTGTGAGGGGGGGAGGTAAGAGTTGGGATGAGGGAAGTCATGTGTGGAAGTTCGGGGGCAGCGGTTATGAGACGGATATTCCCAAGGAGGTTTGAAGCACCGTAACAATCTGAGAGTGAAGTGAGATCCTTGGATTTAGGAGCTAATAGGACGGGGAGAGGATGGATTCCATTCTTGGTGGGAGCGAGAAATGGTCCTTCGACGTGAGCGCCGAGTGATTCGGTTCCATCTGATGCAAGACGATTTGCTCCAGAGGGACCTAGAAATGGAAGTGCCTTGAGGAAATTATCAGTATAGGCTTGTTCATATAAATCACACCAGATACTTACATGATGATATACCTCCGGCCTCGATGATGTGATAGTAGGTAAAAGTGAAGTAACACCCGTCTTAATCAACAATTGATTAACCCTCTTGAATTCCTTTGCATAAGCATTAGGATCATCACTTTCTGGTATAGAAGCAAAATCGAATCCAAAAGCTCCATTTAATTGTGTATCGATAAAACCTGGTGAGATGATGCGACCACCCAGATCAACAACTTCATCTGGTACACATAATTGACCGTAAAACGCTTCCTGGCTTTGGATAATTTTACCGGTGAAGGAGGAGACCCATAGATCTTGGGTTACTAAAGATTCGCCCTTTAGGAGACGACAATTTGTAAACTTTGTGACTTTGGAAGTCGAGGTTGGGAGTGCCGATGGCATGGTTGTAGATTTGAGTGTAGAGGTGTATTACAGAGGAAGGTAGGAAGATAGGAAGTGTCTTAAGAAATAAGGTAGGAGACAAAGAGAAAGAAGATTGGAAGATATCATGCAAATCGTACTGCAATCTCATTCACTAGAAAATAAATATCTCTAGATTTGAAGAACTTTGAGAATTCACTTGTACCTTCCGTAGTCTACTTACATATGACCATCCATACCTACCTACCCATATGCCATACTGGGGATGATTTGATAGTGCAATTCTGAACGTTAGCTCATCTAAAACATGATAACCTTAAACAACCTTGGAAGGGCAAAGTATCTTCCAAACCGAAAATTTCATGTGTTATCAATTGTATCATACAATGACATAGTATCAGCATCAGCATCAGCATCAGTATCAGTATCATGTCATATTACATCTATCCTATCTACCATATCGTAGCGTTGGACTGGTAGAGAGTGTGTGGTTGATTGAGTGGAGAGGAAGACGAGGTACCATCAACGTTCAATGTTGGGATCTTATGTTGTAAGGGAACCGCAAATACATATGTAACGTCGTATCGAATCGACGGGATCATCGGAAGTCGGTAGTTTAAATTAAAATCAAGAGAACTGATTATCGAATAATAATACATCTATCAAGCACACTTGAAATCACTTGATGATAATAATATGCCAAGTCGCCGAGATTACATGTGGTTGTTTGAATTTTGGTAGAATTTTGAAAACATGCTGGCATCAATCTTCACGTCGTGAATTTTGTTTGGATGGCTTCACACATCACACACCACACACCACACACCACAGCGCACAGTCCGACAATTCCCCGGTCTCCAGCCGGTGTAACATCATGTGACCATTTCAGATGGAGGAAGAACAACACCCCAGCCACCCACTTATCACTAGGGACATTTGTACATCCTACAACATCCTAGCTGAAACCAACCACTTACATCTGTTCAAGTGACACACCCCAAGGTGCTGGATATGTGAGGCTGATGATTATACATCAAATTATATTTCATGCATACCTTTTGAAGAGTGGCGAAGAAGCGACGGCTGTGATGAATACGTTCATTTTCATTTTTCCTTGCATAGCATCATCCAATAGTATTCTTCACACATCATGATTTCTTGATTACACACGGAAAGCGGAGCAGACGATCATTCTAGACACTCAGCCAAACGTTGCGCTCAAGTTTATAGCCCTGGCACACTCTCTAAATTACGTTGTTCAGAGTGGAAATAGCGACATTTGTACCGCAGCAAGAAAATATCAAAGATGGATGCCACAGAAGAGGAACTGGATCCTTTGTGGAAGGACCTCGATTGGTAGGTTCTGGGCCACTTATATAGAGATTTGGAAGTAGGCTAACAAAATGAAGGGCCATGGGACAGTGAGTATATTCTTAATCTACTGAGCTGTATGGGACAACATTTTCCGGCTCTGCAATTATGTTTTTGACCCTGGATACTAATCGGGTATCTCTGACTACAGATGCTTCATGATGGGATTTGAAGGGACCGAGGTTACTCCTCAAATCAGGACTCTTATTGAAGATCATCATCTAGGTGCTATTTTGTTGTCGACCAAGAACATGAAGTGTAATAATTTGTATTTCTTATTTCTGTTTGTAGTGTTTCTGTTTTCCCGTCATTTTGTAATCCAATGGGTAGTTGGCAGTGGCTTTGACTTGTCACCTTGATGGCTACTGACCCAGCCATGTAATTCGTCTCCCAGTCGCATACATTTCACGTGCATATCATTTATATGATCATGATGTTGTTCTTCGAATTCCCTTATAGACAATCGTTGACCTGAGTAGCTGCCCGAGAGACAGCAAATTTAGTACAGGAACTCCAAACGATCGCGCATCAAGCTGGTCATCTAGTCCCTTTAATCATTGCTCTTGATCAAGAGAATGGCGGCGTCAATAGTCTTTTTGATGAAGACTACATCTGTCAATTTCCCAGTGCAATGGGAATGGCAGCAACTGGATCTCTAGAGCTTGCATACGAAGTTGCCAATGCAACAGCCAAAGAATTGTCAGCAGTTGGAGTTAACATGATAATGGGTCCTTGTCTTGATGTCTTGACAAATGCTCGTTATCAACCATTGGGTGTTAGAGCTACTGGAGATGACCCTCAAGAAGTTTCCCAATATGGTATTGCTGCCATGAATGGGTATAAAGATGCCGGGCTCGCTTCCTGCGGGAAACATTTTCCATCTTATGGAAATCTAGACTTCCTAGGGTCATCTCTTGATATGCCCATTATCACAGAGACTCTTGAACAGTTAAGTCTTGGTGCTCTGGTTCCATTCCGAAACGCTATTCGTGAAGGAATGGATTCTATTATGGTTGGTGGATGTGCAATAGCAAATGCTGGTTGGTTCGTCTTTTGTATTGTTGGGTTGTATTGTTAACACTGAATAGGAATGAACGTCATGCACGCTTGTCTTAGTGATCAAGTTGTGGATGATCTCCTTCGGAACGATCTTGGCTTCAATGGTGTAGTTGTTTCTGAATGTCTCGAGATGGAAGCATTAAGCCATGATATTGGAGTTAGAGGTGGTACCGTCATGGCAGTAGAAGCTGGATGTGATCTGGTACTTCTCTGTCGCTCTTACTCTGTTCAAAGAGAAGCCATTGCAGGATTAAAACTTGGACTGGAAAATGACATGATCTCTAGAGAACGTATAAATCTCTCTCTAAAGCGAGTCTTGAGGGTCAAATCACAGTGCACATCTTGGGCTAAAGCTTTGAACCCTCCAGGTATTAGCCATCTAACATCTTTACATCCTGGCCATCTCGCTTTGTCTACAAAAGCATACGATAACTCAATAACTATCATGCGAGACAAAGGCCATTTACTCCCGCTATCAAATAGTTACTCCGAAGATGACGATGATCTCCTCCTTTTAACACCATTAGTGAAGCCATTACCAGCATCCACCGCCACTCTTGGTCACGAGAATGCAAAATCTACCAACAATGAATCTGAAAAATCACACAAATCATCATCAATCATGAGTGGTGAAGGTGTGTTTCGAGAATTGGGGAGAGCTTTAGCACGTCAAAGACATGGACGACTTCTTCACACTTCTTATACCGCAAATGGAGTTCGACCAGTCCATGAAAATTTGATTAATAGAGCAGGAACCATTATCATTATAACGGCCGATGCAACTCGAAATCTATATCAAAATGGATTTACCAAACATGTCGCTATGATGTGTTCGATGCTTAGTTCTGCAGGGAAGAAGAAGTCATTGATTGTGGTTTCAGTTAGTTCTCCGTATGATTTTGCTATGGATAAGAGTATTGGGACATATGTTTGTACCTTTGATTTTACGGAAACAGCTATGAAAGCATTGGTGAGGGCGTTGTTTGGTGATTTTGTTCCTCAAGGAACATTACCTGGTACGCTGAGAAAGAGTAGGAAAGTGCAGAAATCGAGACAGCATTGGTTAGTGGAGAGTTATAATAGAGATAGAGATGCAAGAGGTCTACAGGCACTTATTACATCTATTGAGAAGACTACTCCACCGAATCAACAATCGGCGTTGGCGGGTGCAACAGCGGGCTCGTTTGAAATGGTATGTATCTTAGCCTCTCTTATCACACCATGGTATCCGCATTTGAATTCAAGTATAAAATCGCTAACACTTTCTTCCCCCCTTCTTAGCCATCCGCCGCAAATCATAATTCCCTTGAAGAGTCTCATTACGTTGTGCGCAACAGCAGTACTCAAGCTCTATTTGGATTTTGCTCCACCAGTTATTTACCCAGTACTCACACCGGTACAATCTCCACCCTATTTGTCGACCCTTCTAAACGTAATCTCTCAATCGGCCACTCCCTTCATCAACGCGCTCTCCGTCATCTCCTCCAAAAACCAAATATTACTCACCTTCAACTCGGCTCTACCCTCCCAGCCATCTACCTTGGTATTCCAATGAGTGACCTCACCGAAGGTGCACGTCTCAAACGCTGGTTCGCTACAAATGGCTGGGACATCCTTTCTCCCCGATTTCTATACACGTTGATAATTCGTAACGTATCAATTTGGACACCTCCAGAAGGCCTCTTGGGAACAATCCAACGCTTATCCCTCCAATTTGATTTAATCCATGGTCCTTCAAACTCCGCAACCCAAGTTCTCGACTTCGTGCAGACTCATTCGTCACCTGAAATTCATAGTCTTTATAATCTCGCCATCATGGATCCAAAATATTGTGGTATCGTGAGGGCTAAATCACCAATCGATGGGAGTCTCGTGGGTACGATTATTATCTCTCGGTCTGATACTATGCTTTCTCGTTGGATGCCCGTTCTTTCTTCTTCTCCTTCTCAATCTAATTCTACTTCCCATACAAACTCCATGAATTCCAACTCTAAAGGGAAGGAAAAGGAAGAAAATAGAAATGGAAATAATACAGTAGGAGGTATTCTAGCTCCTATCATCCCATCCAATAATGCGCAACGAGAAACAATCTTGCAGGGATTAGTCATGTTGAGTATCAGACAGAATAAAAATAAGGGAGATGGGAAGGGAGTGGTATTGAATTGGGTTGTGGGCAGTGATAGGGATGTTTTGTTAGGGATGGGATTCGATGTGTTAGAGGCGTGGGAAGAGGTGGTTTGTGGAGTTGAGAGGGTGAGTTTATTTTGATTTACGATGGGGGATGATGATGTGATTGTCAAGGAGTTGGTGTATGGAGATTGTGCGAGGAAGATGTGCTAATGAGTGCTTGTTTATAGTGGAGTGATGTAAATTTGGGTTGAAGGGGAGATGGGAAGAGGTGTAGGTATGATATGAGATTTTCTTTTATGTTTAATAGAATCAATATTTTCTTCGGAACTCTTAGGTATTTCAGCGACACGCAAGGATTCGGAATGTTATGAATTTTATTTATCCAGCAGTTGAAGAGCTTTCGATCATCATACTCAATTCAACAGTTGTAATGATAGTATCCTTCAATAATATACTATGCTCAGACTCTCTTCCTCTTCCTCTCCCTCTCCCTCTCCCTCTCCCTCTCCCTCTCCCTCAAATTTCATTTATTCAGGAATTCTACTATGCAGAGTTCTGATAATAGACAGATAGCTAATCAGATAGATATAAATAACCACATGACATAGTAAAAAAGACAGAATTATATACATAACTAAAAATCGAATATATAGAATGAGGTTCTCGAAGTACGATTTTGATTTTAAGTTCAGAGTGATAATCATACTCTGATGCTCTGATGTTGAATACATAGTATAGTCTTATTTGCATGTGAGAATTTTTGCGAAAGGGGTTTTGGAATGAGAACAAGAAATATATATATTCTTTCGCTTCTCCTCTCTCAATCCTCCTCTTTTCTTATCATTTCTTATTCACTATTTCCTATTCACTTTTCTCCCTTCTCTTCCGCTCTCTTCCCGTCTCTTCCTTCACCATCTCCTCCCATTCCTCATTCACCATTCGCCATTCCCAATTCACTATTTTCCATTCAATTTCCTACCCTCTCGCTCTCCCCTCTTCTCTTCTCTTTCTCCTCCCTATTTATTCTTTCCTTTTTAATATCCCTTCCTCCTCTTTTCCTTTCCCTCTTATCCATTCACCTTTCTCCCCTTGCTTTTCTCAATACCTCATTCGCCATCTGTAATGTATCATTCATCATTCACCAATCCATATTCACCAATCCATACTCATCAATCCATACTCACCATTCCCAATCCCTCATATAATTCCAGCCAAGCCCATTCAACCAAATCAGCTGACCACACCCGAACCATCCATGATACAAGACTACAACCCTCACCAAGAGCCATTTATTATCTGTCTATCACCTACCTATAGCTATCTTCTTCATCTCGTATTGCAAAAAGTGTGTGTGAATGTGTGTGTGAGTGTGTGTGGAGTCTTCATCCATCTACCCATCCATCCACACCACACCATACCAATCAGCCACACACACCACACACCACACACCCAACTTTCACACCCGTTTTGCAAAGCCTTGTGACCAACTTCCCATCCAAAAATCACACTATTCCCCCCAAAACAGAAACAAGAGAAAGAAAAAAAAAGAAAAAACTTTTGTTGCATATCTATCATCCAATCTTAATATGCAAATTTCCGCACCCAAGCTATCAGCTGCTCTTTGTTGCACATCGGAGTATTTATACTTTTTATTGGCTGTACACATGATCTTTATGTTTTGGGCGAATGATATTTAGATCTGTGGTAGGTAGTAATGAGAATGGGCTATTGATTGTAAGTTATCTAGGGAGGGGGCGAGGGGAGGTAGCTGTTAATGTATATTTATAATGTATATTTATATTTTAGAGAGTATAAAAATAATGATAATAATAATAATAATAATGAAGCATTATGTACACCAACCAACCACCAACCAGCATCAAACCAAAAACGTTCAAACCATCAAATCTTTTGTTGCACGTCTCAAATCCAATAAAAACACCATCCCATCTCTCCTCAAAAGGAGGTGAAGGAAAGGGAAGGATGCGTATGAATCTCCACATCTCATCAGTACCTACCTAGTACCTCCCTACCCATTCCCTCCCCAATAAACAGCAACCTCCAAAACAAAATGCCATTTTGTTGCACGCCTCCCAACCAAGGAAACGTCTCTATTTCCTCCCTTCCCCGTCCTCATTTCTCTCATCTCTTTGTTGCACATCTCAAGCCAATCTCTTCATTCTCCAAACTCCTGTGCACGACGCACACCCTTCAAATCCGGTGCTAGTCAAGAGTATTTTAATCCACTCCACTCCACACCTCTACACCGTACCGTGTACCCCTTTTCACACCTCCCTTTTCCCTCCATTCCTCCTTCATCTCACCCATTTGTTGCACATCTAAACCAACCACCGACTCGGAATTGAATCGCAATCGAAATCCAAGCATCCATTCATTCGAATCAGATGTAATCAAATCTCCACTCACCCACCCTGAACCTCTAGCCAGTAACTTACTTACCTAGCCATTACTAACAACATCATGTCATCAAAATATGACTCTCGAAATCCCATCCCTTTCCATCCAATCCGCATCCATCCATCCATCCATCCCTTCCTATCTCCTCTCCCGAGGTCTCCAATCCTCTCCATACCCTTACCCAAAGTAACATTCGTACTCAACACGACGCGATACGAATCCAGCCCCCCAAAGGCCCGCCAGCCAAATATTCACAATCTCTCCTCCATTTGTTGCACATCTATCCACGAACCATAAACTTAGTAACCCGCGAACCTAGCCCGTCAAGCACTCGATCCTCCGATTCACTCTCCACTCTCCCTCTCTCCCGTGCGTCGTAAAATCCATTCGATTTCTAGAATCACACTTTCGAACTCCCAGTCTCGTGGTCACCAATAATAAATAGCCTTGCCTCCTTGTTCTACTCACACGAGGTACCCATACATCTAAATCTCTCTCTACACCACCACACCATCAATCATCAACCCCATCCCATCCCTATCCACAGTAAATTCAACCCCCCTCCCTCTAAAAAATAACCCAAATACCAACACAGCAAATACATACACCAACACCCACCTCCCTCCATCTCACCGCGTACAAGAAATCTCAAGCTCCATGATTCGTGTAACGAGAAGGGCAAAACATGATTGGGATGAATTTACAATCGTGACACTGAGTCTTTCAAACTCTCGAATTGGATTTGAGGATTTCAATTTTTAATGTTGGGGGGAGGATGGAACTCTTCCAAGATAATATGGATTGATGTGGTTCGAGGACCTAGGGAGGGAGAGTGTGTAGACTCAGTGCTTGTGACATGTTACTTATACTCGAGTATTGTATCATCTCAAGAGATCTCAATGCAAAACCCTTTGAATCTCCAAATCCAACTCCAACTCCAACTCCAACTCCAACTCCAACAATCAAAACCCTTTCAATTTCCAAACCCCCATCAACAATAAAAAAAAATCTCCAAATCCAATCCAATCCAACATCTCAAAAGAATCCAACATCTCAAAAGAATTCAACATCTCAAAAGAATTCAACAATCCAAAAAAACCCTCTCCTTTCAAATCTCAATCTCCAAATCCTCAAATCCTCATCAACAATTATATTATATCATATTATATTATATTATAATATCTATCCTATCCTATCCTATCCTTCTTCTCCTCCTCCTCCTCCTCCTCCTCTAACAACAACAACAACAACAACAACAACAACAATATACAAAAGTAACACACACACACACACACACACACACACACACACACACACACATCACCCCCTTTCTACCCCCCTAATCCCACCTCCTAATCACCCTATCCTTCCCCCTCTTCCTCTTCCTCTTCCTCTTCCTCTCCCCCTCCCAATCACACCCATCCCCTTCTCCCCAAAAATCCATCCATCCATTTGTTGCACATCTCACTACGAACCATAATCCCTAATCCCTAACCCCTCTGAAAAAACCCTTGGAATAAGATTTTTCATGTGTGTAGCTGACCTCGCGCATCAACATGGGGTTGAGCCTCAGAACCAATAAATCTTTTTTCTAGAAGCTTTCGAAGAAAAGGTGTGAGTGGAGATTCAATTTAATCAAAAAGCAAGCGGGTATAATATCTTCTCTATTGGTGATGGTTTTGGGGGCTGAATACGAGGGGCAATATTATATCATTGGCTCTCAATTCTCACATCATGTTACAAATCATGAGGTCACAAAAACCACTAGAATTTGATAAAAGCTTATTCATAATTCTATAAAAAGTAGGCACAGCTCATTATCCCACCAAGCAATAACCTTTAAACCTGTCAATCATAATCCATTCATCCCATCAATACTACCAACATCTGATATCATAATAACCGCCCCAAAACTTGCATTCGCACTGAAATTTGCTATTTACTCTCCTGCCTTGACAATTTTACAGATGAGATCAGAACCTCCGACTGAATCTCCCTCCTTGATTTGCATACTGCTGACCTTACCAGCATGTGGTGCAGAGATAACCATTTCCTATATCCATAATTAGTATATTGTTCATTGCGCTTAAAGCGAGAAAGAATAGACTCACCATCTTCATGGCACTCAAGACAGCAAGTGGATCACCCTTCTTGACTTCACCACCATCCTTAACTCTCAATTCAACAACAACACCTGACATAGGAGCTCCAACTTGGCTGGAATCTCCTGGATCGGCCTTTGGCCTGCTGGTGTTCTCAACAGCTGCCTTGTTGTCATCAATTGTGACTTGTCGAACTTCTCCGTTCATCTCGTAGAAGACCTCTCTCTGTCCAGTGGTATCTGACAATGGACCAACAGCAAGAAGCTTCAAGATCAAAACTTTACCCTTCTCCAACTCAACATGGAATTCCTCACCAATTTCTGGTCTTGAGAGGAAATATCTAGTTGGAAGGACACTCAAATCACCGTACTTTTGAACGAACTTTCGGTACTCATCATACACCTTAGGGTACATGGCATAACTTGAAACATCGCACTCAGTGACATTGCCCCATTTGGCATGGATATCCTTCTTGATTTGAGCCAAATCAAGTGGCTCAAGAGTGAGACCAGGGCGCTTATCAAGCTTGCGTCGGCCACGGAGAGCATTGGTTCTCAATGGTTCAGGGAAACCACCGTATGGTTGACCCATCAAACCTTCAAAGAATTCCAAAACAGAACCTGGGAAATCCAATTCACTAGCTCTAGCTTGAACGGCATCGAAGTCAAGTTTGTTGGAAACCATGAATTGTGCCAAATCACCAACAACCTTAGATGTTGGAGTGACCTTGA